GGAATTTATTTTAGCTTCATTATATTTATTTCTACTCATTCAGGTTGGATTTATATTTTTGGAGTATGTGTGTGTGTGTGTGTGTGTTTCAACTGCATTAGGAAGCATACCTGCATACCATGAAAGCAGCTCTGCCTTGGTATCCATGGGTACTTGGTTCCAGGTCCACTCTCAGATAGCAAAATCTGAGGATGCTCAAATCAATCTTATAAAATATCCTAGTGTTTTCTACACACATCTATACATTACTTTAATACCCAATACAAGGTAAACCATTGTTACATTGTTAAGGGAATAATGACAAGAAAAATGTCTATATATGTTCAATACAGAAACACCATTTTTTTAAATATAGCATGTTTGGTCCACAATAGGACACAGAGGTCCAACTGTATATTAGTCATTTCAAACAGGGACATGTCTGCTTTAATACCTACCTTTTACTTACCAGTGTAAGACTTCCCACTTCAGCAGACCATGCTGGAAAATAAATAACAATGATTGTAAATTCTTTTTCTACAGAGATCTTATTGTTCTTATCAGACTTCCCTCATCCAAATATTGCTTCTGCAGTTTACTTAGTTTTGTAGATAGATCATGTTTACCAATGGCAATGGACTGAATATTCATATCTTCCTATAATTCACATGTTGGAATCCTAACCTCCAAGGTGATGATGACAAGAGATGGAGACTTTTGGAACTGATAAGGTCATGAAGGCAAAGACCTGGTGGATAGGATTAGTGTCTTTATAAAAGGCCTCTGAGAGCTTCTTTACTACTGTGCCATAATAAATTATATGAGATGATGGTCACCTATAAGGAAATAGGGCCAGCCCTCACCAGGCACAAAATCTTCTGGCAACTTCCCAACTTCTAGAACTGAAAAATAAAATTGTGTTGTTTATATGGCACCTAGTCTATGGCATTTTGTATAAGAAGCCGGAACAGACTAAATCATTCACTGTCTGATTTTTCATAACATTTAAAAAAATCTCTCAATCCATGTTTGTTCAGAATTTAATTAATGGTTAGTTTATGTTCTATTATATATATATATGTGTGTGTTCATATATACACATATTCATATGTATATATACTTATATATTTATATTAAAACTACATTCAATAACTTGCTGAAGTAGGATACTAAGAAAACAGAAGATATGGGCAATTGTTAAATTCCTTGAGGGAATTCAAAATTAGGGTCACCCGTATTGAAATGACAAGTGCATTTGGCTGCTGAAACTATGTGTTTGAAACTAGAACAGTACTTACTGAAAGAATATATCAAATCAAAGAGTACATGATCCTATCTGACCCCAAATTAAATTCTCATGGCTGCAGTTGTGTGTTTTTCCATGGTTTAAAATCCTAGAAAATCACTGATGTTTGATTTTAACCAGAGGACAATAAACCATTAACTATCTGCCCTCAAGAATAATTCAAGAAATAAGCATTGCTTAATTTAAGAGTAATACTGTAATGCCTATAATTACATTCAGGTGGTTGAATAAATATCCTTGCAATTTTATAGTATGTTGCCTCAAAGAGAGGAACCAGTTATCACAACTGAAGTCACAAAGTGATAATGTCTAGTTTACCACGGAAGTACTGTTCATTGTCAATAATTATAATTGGCCAGCAAGAGGTTTTTGGATTTTGTGTCAGCTGAAGTATTCAGAGATTGGATGGTCATTTATTGAGATGATTTAGACTTAAGTGCTACTATTAGTGTGATTTTCTTTCTGGTCATTTCCAATCTATAAAATGTCTTTATTTTCTCTTTTAACTTTGAATCTTCTCTCATATTATTTTAAAAATTATCATAGATTGCCAATAGCATTATAGAGGGGTTTTAATGTTATCTGTAAAACAGATAACTGAGTGTGTATATGTGTGTGTGTGTGTGTGTGTGTATCTGGTGGCAGATACTGGTATAGAGCACCTCAAACTCAGATCCAACTATATGAGAGATTACACTATTCAATTCTGTAGAGAGTGGACCTTAGAAATTCAAAATAATTTAATCCAATTTACCAAGGCACAAGTGGCAGAGGCATTAGTAGTCCCCAGTCTTCTGAGAAATGAGTTCATGTGATACTCTAGGCTACATGAGGAATAGTTTGCTTTGGGTGAATGGGAAATTGTTATAATGTGATAGTTAATACAAGAGGAGACGGAGAAACAAACTCAAACTCATACATTTCTAAAAGCAGAAAAAATAACTTGGACCACTAAAAACAGTAAATATGTCTTTCACTAAGTTTTCCTTCTCTTACTTTTCTGGTCTATTTAGGCAAGTAATATTCAGAAATAATCAACAGTGTATCTCCATTGAACCCTCTTTCTCAAGGTCAAATGATTTCACTCTCCTGTAGATAATCTTTTCAATTTTGCTAAGCTAAAAATAAAAAGTGATCTCGAATCTCTAAGGGCACAGAGCAGGCAAGAACAAATTAAACAGAGCCCTCCTTATGCAGCAGTACTTTGTGTTGAAAGAGTACCTCAAAGAAACAAAATAACAGTCACAAGAGTAACTCTGGAAAGTCTATACACAAAAATAGGAGAACATGCAACTTGCATAAACTTAAAAAGTCTAATGTAAAATAATTAAATCATTGTACACTCACAAGTGTAAATATGATGTGATAGAGAATTACTTGCTTCATTGAGTAGGCAACTGTTTGGTTTATGAAAATTAAAGTGATTGCTGCAGGTGAGCACATTTCCTAATGTTTTGGGAGTTGACAAGTGGGGGAACAGCATGCCTTGGCACCGTGTGAAATTATCTTTTCAGATAGCTTGTTTTTTTTTAAGACAGAATTAAGGATGGAGTTGGAGTTATTCTTAAATTGATGAGGAAGTAGATGGATAGATACTTATTGACATTCTACTCTAAGACTTTGATAATGTGTCATATTCTTTATTTTAACAGTGCTCTAAGGAAGAAATTATTGTTGTTATTAAACAAAGAACAAAACTTTATCCCTCAGAAATGTTCCATGAATATTTTTATAAGGAAGGGAGTAAACGCCTGACAATGTGACACTTCCAAATTATAAACATATAGCCAAAAAGATAATAGAATAATCCGTCCTTGGATAATTTTGATGTCACATTAGGGAAAAGTCATTTTGGTATTAGAAATTACACTAATTATATTTGATATATTGTAAGAACTTTTGTAAATGCCACAATGTACCCCCACCCAGCACAACAACAAAAAGTTAATATATCCTCCTCAAAATAGAAGTTACATGAACTGGCAAAGGAGGAGAGAAGTGCTACTCTGGAAAATATATAAACTGAAGACAGAGAAACAGGTAATAAATGCCTTCCTTAATTGTGGAATCTTGGAAAGAAGCAAGAATGTCTATAGAGAAATTTGAGAACCTTACTGAGAACAGTTCTGAATAACACCCAGTGAAGGCCTTTATAGGAGGTCTTCATTGAAAATTATATACCATTTTTCAATGCTTCTAGAGTCATATTTGCATTTCTATTATTATATATTAAATGTGTATTATCTTATGAAGCAAAGGATCCAACATTTGTAAGTGATTTTTAAAAAATAATGTTACTACAAGTTTAAAGTCATTATCACAGATTTAAATTATACTTTAATTTAATCTTGATTTTTCTAACAAAAATAATCCAAAGTAATTATTTCATTTTTTATTTATATTTTTTTCTTTTATTTATATGTGCATACAATGTTTGGTCATTTCTCCCTCTTTCCCCCCACTTGCTCCAAAATACCTATTTTAGGAAAGAAATAAAAAATTTGTGCCTTAGGACTAGAACAAATGTATATTTTAAATCTATAAAATAAAGGAATTACATAATGATAATGTGTCACCAAATACAATGGTTAAAAACTATTATAATGTAGCCCTATAAAGTAACTATGCTAAGAAATATGATCTATTGTTTAAACTTAAAAAGCAACATAGCTTGAAGCAACTGCAAGTAATAAAACTGTATTTGATAATTGTCCCCGTCCTCACACAAAGACATTTGCATAGTGGAAAAAGCATCTTTGTTTTCTTGTAGCTCACTCACTCCCCACTCTATATCTTCACCTAAAGTAGCATTTTGGAACAATGAGTGACTATAGAGATGATTATAATGTCAGAAATGTGGGATTATGACTTCTGCTAACAAATAAACAGCAGGAGGAGAAAGGCTATTGAGGACTAAATATCCTTTTTCCAGAGAAGTATGGTTTACCATTAGAAAGAAACAGGGACACGAATGAAAACAAAGACTCACTTATAGACATTTATGAATATTTTGCTATTGTGAGTTTTAGTTGAAAAACATTCCTATTAAGCAATCTATTGAAGTAAAAAAACATGAGAAAAATTCTCATTTGTCTTGGGAACAAAATTCAATATTTTTACAATGACAAAGACAAAGAAGAAAAATATTACTAAACATTTGAAAATATTTCATATGTACACATATATGTATATATTAACTTTGAATGAATAAACACATTTAATTTAATTACTTTAATGAAATAGTCTACCAGAATTCATGAAAGGCAAAGTAGATAGAATCTGGAAATTTACACTTCACCCCTTCTTCATAATGTAAACAACATTAAACAAGGAATGAGTAGAAAAAAAACCCAATTGTGCAAATTCTTTTGTCAATTTCGGTTATTGTTATTTTTAAGATAACAAAGAAATAAAGTAGTTAGATGCACACAAGTCAAGGGTGTAGGATGGTTAATTGAGGTTTTAATGTTTTTTAATATTTTTGAGGAACTTTGCTTCAAAAGCATAATTTCCTTCTAAAATGTTTTGCTTCTTATTTTCTGAGTAAACTCTGTCTTCCCAATAATTTAATTGGAATCACTGAGATATACTCTGAATAAAAAGTGAGTTTATTATTAGAAAAGGCCGGGAAGATGTGAAATTTCTAACTTGATGTCATTATATGCAAATGCAAATCCTCCATTCAAAAAAATTTTTGGCTTCTCTCTTTTTTTAGGAAAAAAATGGAATTTTTAAAAGAAGTAGAATAAAGCAACCAGTCCTGAGCTAAGTCTTGATTCAACTTGAGTTAAAGTTGTTAAACTCAAATCAGTTGTCCTAGAGTCAATCTCAGAAGGTAGGTAGACCACTTAATTTGTAAAGGGTCCTTAGAGAAAGAGAATCAATAGAATGTGTGTGTGTGTGTGTGTGTGTGTGTGTGTGTGTGTGCACGCACGTGCAAATTCACACTCATGTGAATGAAAGGATATGTACATATATGCAGATCTATGTGCATATATATATAAAGATTTATTTCAGATGCTAAGCAGTCCTACAAAAACCTTTCATAGCAGTAGCTAAACACTATTGTGTATTAAATAACTAACTTCTGTACTCTAGTTGACCAGTCATCAACAATGATGTAGTTTTCTTGGTTATGTCATATTATTTGGAGTTTATTATAAATGCAATGAAATCGAGTGTGGTGGCTCATGTCTGTAACTTCAGTTACCTCAGAAGGGGAGGCAGGAGTGTCACAAATTTGAGGCCAGTCCAGGCAAACTTAGCGAGACCCTGTCACAAGAACAGAAAAAGAAAGACAGTGCTAGGGCCACAGTCCAAGTGGAAGAATGCTTGCCTAGAATGTACATGGCCCTGGCTTTAGTCTTCAGTCTGCAAAAAAAATTATAATAAGAAATTTTTGAAAGATAGTAAGCACATGGAAGAGGTATTAGTTGTAACTCAAGAGCCTAAGAGCAATACCGTCATATTATCGGTTTGTGATGGAGGCTTTGAACAGAGATGGATACATTCAAAGGAAGATAATAAAATAAGTATATACAATTTTAACCTGTTTCCTTAATGAAAACTTCCCAAACACCTCAATAAAAATCCCCACCACAATAGCAAAATAGATTGTATTTATAAAACAGTTTATAAAGGAACCTTAAAAATATACTCAAGGAAATATACAGATATTTCCTTAGATTGGATTTTTATTGTGTTTACTTTTCAAATGTTCAGAAGATTACTTTAAAAATTCATATATACCTAAAATGCTCTAATTCTTTTCAAATAAATTTGCATTGGTGTTTTCTATAAAATAATATTACAGTGTTTCAATCAAATTACTAAATGTATTATAATGGCTGAAACATGAAGCAAATTGACACTGGAAGCATATCCATTTTATTTCAAATCATTTTATGTGATAGATGATTGGAACTTGGAAATGAGACTTAATTATGGAACACAGGTATAGAATAATAATGTAGATATATTAAAATGCATCATGCTTTTGTTATGGTTTGTTATGCAATATCTCTTGCAGGTTCATGTGTTGGAAGTGTGGTTACCAGCTAACGGACTTTTGAGAAGTGATTGAATCCTGAGGGCTCTGACCTTATCAATCAATTCCTTGATGTATTCACAATATGACGGCATTATTGGGAGTAAGTCAGTGGGGAATTTTTTGGGGGGATATATCTTTCCCAGGCTCCTTGATTTATTTCTTTTTCCTGCTTCCTGTCTGCCATGAGATGCATAGATTTGGCTACATGCTCTTGCATGTTGTTCTGCCTCAACATGAACCCTAATCAATGGAGCTAATGACTATGGACCAAAATCTTTGAAATCCTGACTTAAAATAAATCTCTCCTCCTTTTAAGCTATGCTGTTAGTCATTATGTCACAATAACAATAAAAGTGACTAACATGGAAAATTGGTACCAGGAAAGTGGGGTTGTTTGACTACCTGATCATATGAATCAGAAACATTTGAAACTGTTTTGTGGAAGGAATTTTGAAAAAGTTAGAGATGTGGGCTGCAAAAACCTTTAAAAATCCATAGCATTGTTTAATGAGCAATTCTCGTGGTAAGCCCAGAAGATCAAAACGCAAAATGATTACAGAAACTAAAGGCAAGTTTCGTGAGGTTTCAATAGGAATGAGGACTCTCTGAGAAACTGGATGAGAGGCCCTTCATACTACATTATGGTAAAGAAGTTTTCAACATTTTGTCCATTTCCTGAGACCTTGTGAGAGGCTGAGTTTAAAGATGACAGACTAATCAATATGGTAGAGGATATCAATCATTATGAGAAATTCATAACTGACTATTTTATTGCATGATTACTTCCACTCATAGTGTACCTACTTGTGTGTGTGTGTGTGTGTGTGTGTGTGTGTGTCTGTGTGTGTGTGTGTGTGTGTCTGTGTGTGTGTGCTGATCAGTTGATATAAACACTGTATTCTTGGAGAACAAGTCCCAGGGAGTCTTCCTGGGATGACTCCCATGGTGGATTTCAACTCATTGTGCAGTTGTTCCCTACTGAGTCCAGCTATAGTGGTTATCATTGCTTTTGGATACCTTTCATTTCAGAAAGTATTATTCAGAAATTTCATAATTTTTCTAAGAGTGATAGTTTCCTAAACCACACTTACCAAAAGTTGCCTTAGTTGTACTGCTAATGTTGGAGTCATCAGTATATAGAATAGAGAAGAATCTAAACACAGAACAAGCTACAGTAAATAATTCAAATCAGTAATGTTCTATTACCTTATATTTTCAAAGAAAAATTGCATCACTGTAAAAATGTATGAGTAACTGGCAAATTATTCCTGCTCTGAGTAAGAGTTAGTGAGAATTTAGACACCACATTATTACAGTGTTTACAAAACAGTAAAGAATTTTTTCTTTTTCTTATCATTTTGTTTGAGCAACAGAGTTATTTCAACTTTATAGAAATGATATATTCCTTATTAATCCAAAGTTGTAATAAGAAGATAAAACTTTAAAAATGGTTTAAATTGTTTTCATAAAGTAGCAGAAGAAGGGGCATGTATTTACTCATGCATTTAATAGATATGAGATTTCATTCTATGTGTCACTCAGCATAAGGGATAAAATAGTGACAAAAAGAAATGCATTCCCTACTGCTGGGGACTTTTACTCTCATGGAGTCCACCACCATTGGATAAAAGACCTAACAATAAATATATAAATAGAGATGATGTGTAAAATGGAGAGAAGAAACCAGAATAGATTCAGTGAGGTCAATATGAGAAGCACAAAGAAGCCAGCTGTAGAAATGACAGACAAATCTTAAGACTTTTGCATTTAATAAATCGAACCAATTCGAGTTATAAAACGTATATACCTGGAAACACACAAGAAATTTCCTGCATAGCTATCTTAAACAAAATGTCATTTTTTTCTTTTACAAAATTGGAAAATAGGAAGGTGGAACAGGTCTTGTGCAGGGGGCTGGTACCAGTGGGAGGGGAGAGGATCTAGGCAAAGGGTGTAGGAGGGTGAATATAGTGCAAATACTGTGTATACATGTATGTAAATGGAGAAATGAGACCTGTTGAAACTACTCCAGGAATTGGTGGAGGAAAGATAGAGGAGAATGATGGAGGGGGTGAAATCAAGTATGATATATTTGATATACTGTAAGAACTTTTATAAATGCCATAATGTACCCCTAGAACAACAATTAAAATGTGCTTACTTGAAAAAACTAAGTATATGAAAATAAAAATATATATGTAATTTTAAAGAAAAAAAGAACAGGTCATTTTAAAAGAAAAAAATGTCTTTGGTTGGTGAAGAAAAAGAATGGATCAAGGATGATCCAATTGCCTAGCTTATGCTTCAAAATGAATAACCTGCATTATAGAATTTTTATTTTTTGATGAAGCTATATTTTAATAGGGATGATAATATGGGTGTATTTGTTAACTAGTTAAGTGCCCTGCATGTGCTAGTAGACTGGAAAAGTTATTGTGAATTATATAAATGTTAATATCATACCCAATAAGGATCATGAGAACTCTGTGGTCAAGTAATTCCTCCAAAAGGCAAGTGAAATATAATACGATGAGAAATACATGGGGAGATCAATCTTTAAGTGCTAAAAATGCAGCCTTAGGGAGGCAAGGTATTCAAATTTAGAAAATTTGTTGAGAAAGCATAGTGTTCAAAGTATCTGCTGCAGAAGAGAAGTAGGGGACTAATAGTGGCAATTTTTGCTATGCAAGGCATAATTCCACTAATTCTATATCTGGAAATTAAATACTCATACATAAATATATGTTTTCCAACAGGTTCATTCTTAGAACTCCCCATATAACCTATTCAGGTTTATTTTTCTCAGAGTACCTCTCATAGTTTGGGATGGTATAATTTACTTATTTTGCATATTTACATTGCCTTTTCCCTACAGCAATGTAACTTTCAAAGTGACGGAAGTTTTTTCACTTAAAAATATATCACAAAGCTTTTGACAATGCTCTCCACATTATAGGTGAATATTTATTGAATTAATGAACATACTGGAATGGATGAATTGGAGGAGATAAGTATGTTCAGGAGGCATTTGAGGTACTGGGCTAACTATTGAAGAAGGAAAATGTAACATCTGGGATCAGGCTGTCAGAGAATCTTGCAGACTCCTTTCTCCACCTACAGAAGGGATTTTGGCATTTGCTAGTTTTTATAGAAGAGCATAACCTTCTCCATTGGTGAACAGTTCTTGTGTTCAATTCAAATATTCTTTCTGTGTTGCCAATTAAAATACATCTCCTGTTACACTGGCCCAAAGGACATGCTATCGCTCAGTCATACCATCCTGATTCATCAGTGTGTTGAGCTCACAGTGTATAATGATAAAAGAGAAAGAGCAACACAAATGTCCATTCATACTTAGCTAGAGGCTGGGTTATACAATAATGGTGATAAAGCCAGACACTGAACGCTAGAAATGAGTCAGTATATTAATAATCTCTATGCTCAATGACATAAAACTTCCAAGATGCTTCAACCAAAACTAAGTGATCAAGCATCTATACTAATTCTACCCACCCCCAACTTCTCTAATCAAAGCTAACATGAGCAAACAAAAGTGAATTTGGTTCTTGCAATTTGGCATTCTCTTTTATGTCAATCTCTCATTCATGTGTTTGGCAATTTGTAGTAGCATCTCTTTGACACTACTAGATAGTATCAGTTACCTTGTAGATTGTCTTATAGGTTGTTGACAAAGCCAGTTCCCTTTTTCACTATGCTTTGCACATTTTTAAAACTGTTGAGTTGTCCTATGATGGATTTTGCCTCATCCTCTATCGATTCTATGTGACCTAGATGTGAATATAGATATGTTGTGGGTGATGAGAGCATGACCACTGGAATTTCATCAAATGTATGTGAACCCTTCTTGTTTTCTGTACACCTCAGTTTTCTCACTTTGAAAGTACTGATACCTGTTGAATAGTGTGCTTTTGAGGAGTTGATCAGATAATACATGTAGGCACATAACTTGATACCTAATTCATTGTACGTCTTCAAAATGGTTTGCTATTATAGTGATTAGTGTACCAATGCTTATTTTTTAAAGTACTACATTATAAATGTATGGCTTAATGGAGGTAAATATGCAGTGACCCACAATGATTCAGTCAGGGAAATGTTCAGAGAATACTTTGTTTGCTAATTTTTATTCAGTTTTTCCAGAAAATCTATTGCTTAGCATATATATTATACCATTAAGTATTTTCTTCATTTGCCATAAGAAATACTCTGCATTTGGCTTGCTCTATTGCCTATATCTCCTTCCACTATTTAAATGTGTGTATGTTCTCTTAGACACTAATTTCCTAAGCCTCACTAATAATAATAAACTAAATAAGTAACAAGGAACCTAGTTGATGGGGGCTTAGACAACTCAGGGATTTATTATCCCACTTACCAGGATTATTACAGAGAGGAAGAGATGGGCTTCAGTTTCCTCAACAAAATCTTCCAGGAATTTCTTCTCTTTTATGTTATTTTGTATTTCTTTTATCACCTCATGATTAACAACTAGGCCATTGAAATGTTGAGTATGAAACCTATGTATCAGGTAGGATGAATGGTGGAGTAGCAAGATAAAAGTTCCCTGGAACTTGGGAAAGAAGTAAAAATTTTACCCAAAGCTTCCTGGAAACTTGCCCTTGAGTTCTGCTGACTGAAGCTGGGCATAGTATTGCTTTCAACAAAGGCAGGTAAAAAGAAGGGTTCTAAACCCCTATAGGCCAGATGATAGATTGTGCCTGCCTCAGAGTAAACTCTTTTTTGTGTGTGTTTTGCATTTGTAGCTCCCAAACTCTGTATGAGTTTTGGCTCTTTAGCCAATTTGTCTTTATGTGGTTTTGTCTAGTAGTGCCGAATAGTTTGAAATGGAGCTAAATTGGATCATCTTTTCTGTGCTTTATCATAAAAATTAACCTCGTATTCTGTTCTTATGCACCAGCAATGATTGATTTTAAGCAAAAGAACAAGGAGAACATATTATTAGTGCTTTTTAGCAGTGGTTCTGGATCATTTGTTGAGTTAGCTATCTCTAACAATGTGCTATTTACTTGCTAGGTTTCCATTTCAAATTTAGACACTGACAGTAAAGCTCTTTTCTTT